TTTGGCGAGACCTGAAGGATCCTCTTCCATGTTCCTAAAGACGGTATATGAGTTCTACGCTGATTCTACACACCTAATGGATCCTAGAACCCTAGAAGATTGAGCAACCCTTTCAAAAGCCAGGTTGTTATCCTGGAGAGACATAAACCTCACAAGCCTACACCCCAACTCTTAACTTTGACGGAGCTTTTAAGGAGGGAGTGCACCAGCTGCACTAGGCTCCCTAAGCCCTTTCAGTCATCGTGCGACTCCCTTGAAAGAGGGGAACGGCTTCAGATAGCTTAAGGAACTAAGGGCCGAACATTCAGGGGGCTGGTCCGAGGGTCCAAAGCGCCCGAAAGTTCATCCACGCCCCATAAACACTAGATTTCTAAGTCTAAGTAGCCTACAGTACTACTTACTACTTCCCTATAACCCAGTTTCCCTATTTATTGATACACTCCCCCAAAATCTAGATCATTGACCTGCAGTACTACTTCCCTGTCCACTTGTCCTGGTTATTGATTGAGGTTTCCGCTTCACGAAGTTTCGGTGCGTCTTAGGGTTCAGGGTTTAGGAAGTTTAGGGCTATAGGACCTGGGGTTTCCGGTTTAGGGCCTATAGGGTAAGGGAGTGAGACGCCTTCTTGCCGCTGCCACCCAGCACAAAGTAGTCGCCACCTCATGCGTCGAGAGAGCTAGCAGCCAGCAGCCAGGGGGAGGACTCATTCCAAACCCTAAACCCCCACCTCCACCCCAACTCCCTCAAACAAATCTAACCGGAAACCCAGCACACTCCAGACCTACACTCAAAACCCTAAACCCGGAAGAAGCAACAAAACCCACAAAAAAACAAACCCAAACCACCATGGGCGAAATCGTTGCTTGGAAGATGGTAACCCTCTAAGCCCTAAACCCCTAACCCCTACACCCCTAAACCCTAAACCCCCAAACCCCTAAACTCCTAAACCCTAAAGTGGCTCGATTTCAGCTGCGGCCCCGAACCCCAGAGGCTCACCAAGCGACTCAAACAAAAATCTGATCAACAAATGCATATTAAAATTAAATTACACAGGCGGGGGACCTTCCGGCCCCTATATCTCTAGTTTACCCTAACCCTCCAGATACCTGCGATAGAGGGTACTAGAGCCCCTAGGGCCCTATATAGTATATAGTAGGCACCTGGAGGGTTAGGGTTATGTAGGCAGTAGCTCTTAAATGTCATAATTTGGGTTTAGAGTCTCTGGGCCCCGCTCCAAGTACAATCGACTCAGTAGATCGAACAGGTAAGACATTAGGGTTTAAGGTTTTTGTTTTTAGGGTTTAGGGTTTAGGGGTTTAGGGTTTAGGGTTTGGGGGTTTAGGGTTTGGGTACAGGGGCTATAAGGGATTATGAGATGATTACGAATCATTCGAACCCTATATTCAGGATGAGGCTTCGGGATTAAGGGCTTGAGGGAGGAATTCGCGAGTTAGGGCTTGGGGTCTAAAGTTTAGGGGACAAGGGGTTAAGGGGTTTAGGGTTTAGGATCAAATCCAAAGCCACGATGGGCTGGCAAGGAACCCTTGGATGCTTTAAAATCCTCCTCTAAAGCCTAAAGCCTGAACCCTAAACCCCTAAACCCTAAACCCCTAAACCCTAAACCCTAAACCCTAAGTCCTAAACCAAGACAGTCGTCTCTGAAGAGGTCGCTTAGGGCTTCGGGTTCCTCGCTGCTTCAGCCTCGAGGGTTTAGAGTATGGGGTTTGGGGTTTAGGTTTGGGGTCTAGAGTTTGGGGTTTAGGGTTTGGGGTTTTGGTTTTAAGGTTTAGGGTTTGGGGTTTAGGGTTTAGGGTTTTGGTTTTAGGGTTTGGGTTTAGGGTCTGGGGTTTAGGGTTTGGGTTTGAGGTGTGGGGTTTAGGGTTTAGGGTTTGGGGTTTAGGGTTTGGGGTTTGGGGTACTTTCATCTGCGGCCCCGGCTGGAGAAGAAGTCGATGCTGCAAGGGTCGAATTCCAAGCGGTGCCTCATCGAAGCTGGATTCGACTCTCATGCAGTTGCGAAGTAAACCAACAGTCTGCACGAATCCGCGAAACTCCAACTCCGAAATGCTCTCTTCACACAGGCATACCTACAGGCAGATCTCGACAACCGGCCGGGCATGAAACTGCGGTGAGGGAGCAGTGCGTTGCAGTGCTAGCATTTCATAGGCAATTTGCAGAGATTCGGCGTATACTCTCCTAGAGTGTCTTGAGTTCAACGGACGCTTGGATGCTTTGGCAACGTCCCTAACAAACAACACTCCACTAGAATGTTAGGAATATGGGTGGTTCTCTTCATTAAAGGCCCATTTTAGGTCCCCAAAATAGCACGGCACCGTAATGTAGTGAACTACCCATCTTGTACCCATTATGGCACCTTTTTTGAAACCCTACAGAGACCCTCATAGATCCCGTTAAAGGAACCCCAAACCCTTAGCATCAAAATAGCCCAACACCCTTTTATAATAGGGTCTTTGGGCCCAAAAGCCTTAAAGTATGAGTCCTTCGATACTAAGGGAACCCTAAACCCTAAAACCCTAAACCCTAAAACCCTAAACCCTAAACCCTAAAACCCTAAATGGTTAGAGTTTAAGATCCTCGGACCGTATTCTACGCATTTCATAGCACCATTTTTGAAACCCCACAGAGACCCTCATAGATCCCTTTAAAGGAACCCCAAAAGGGACCCTTATTCTACGCATTTCGGGGCTTTCCGTACCCTGGGAAGCTTTCGGCCCAGCTGGGCGCCGGGCTCGCGGCCGTACTCCTGGCCGGAGACCTGGCCCGGCAGCTTTCTTTGGGTTTTTTTCCGGTTTAGGGCTTAGGGTTATTGATTTTTTTTTTTGCTTTTGGAGGGGGGCTGCGGAAGGGCTCAAATCTACTAGGGTGGCCCTTTGAAGCAATCGATCAATTCGCGTAAGCGTGTTCCTCTTAGTCCAAACCCTAAACCCTAAACGGCCCTAAACCCTAAACCCTAAACCCCAAACCCTAAACCCTACTATACCCTAAACCCTACTAAACCCTAAACACTAAAACCCTAAGTGATAGGTTTCCTGTTGGGGGCTCCCGGGCTGCTGCGGTCTTCAGGTTGAGCCAAGGCTCCTCAGCTCTATCACAGAAGTAAACTACAGGTGGGGAGTTTAGGGTTTAGGGTTTAGGGCTATATAGGGCTTCTATAAGGCTCCGGTTCTTAGTAGGGAATGGATCCCTATGATAGTCCCTTAAGGTCCCCTATAGCAGTCCCAAAACCCCATTCCTCCATTCCCTACTAAGAACCAATCAGATAAAGCTCCTTTATCACAGGGTCCTTGTGTGACCCCCTTCTCCCCTGATCCCGTTACTCTAAGATATCTCTATATCGCTC